CAACATCTTTTTTACATCGTAGCGACCAAAACTGGATGCAGTATTCCAAGTGTGGCCTTACCAAGGCATTATAAAGAGGTATCAATACTTCATATGATCTTGATTCTATCCCTGTGTTAATGCAGCCTAGAACAAGTTGGCTTTTTTGGCAGCTGCAGCACACTGCTATCTCTTATTTAAATGATCCCCCCCCCCCCAAAAAAAAACACACAATCCAATCAGATCTGATATATCTATATAAAGAATAACTATCGTGCAAATTAGCATCTTCCAAGCAGCCACCTATTTGTTAAATAAGTTTATGTGAATAATTTATTTGGATAAGAAAAGGTTCCAACGCTAGAAGATGTAATCATGGGATTGAAAATAATTCTTTTGGTTATGAATATTGTAAAGATAATCACTTTTATATCCCTTAAAGCCAATACTGAAAACACCTTCTATTAAAAAAGCTAACAAATCTTCAACTCTGCTGTTCAAGCAAGAAATAGCTGGAGGGTGGGAAGAAGCATCTGTTGGTTTCTAAAAACATTTGCACAAAAGTGAATAGAAATCAACCTATGGCTCCATTGTGTGCTAGTATTCCCACTTCTGTCCACAATGAAAAATTAATTACTGTAACAGGAAGACTTCCCTATTTATTTATATTCTCTGCACAACTTAGAAACCCAATCTTTCATATTCCGAAAAAGTATAAAGAAATTGAACAATTAGAACCAGGTCACCACTGTGAGAACAACTACACAACCCTGTTTGACCTTGAAAAAGCTAGAGGGTCAAACCTAATTAGTACTTGAATGAGACAAAGAAGGCCAAGGTTTTCAGATATTCAGCCAAAATGTAAAGGGCCACAACAACTAGAGGACAGGATTTGATAGAGCAGGGGTCTCTAACATTGGCAATTTTAAGACCTGTGGACTTCAACTCCCAGAGTTCCTCAGCCAAGTGGCTGAGGAATTCTGGCAGTTGAAGTCCACAAGTCTTAAAGTTGCCAAGGTTGGAGACCCCTGTGATAGAGGACAGGGCCAAAAATTGATCTTAAATCTTTTTTTCTGAGAGATTCTGATTGTAAGAATGATACATTTCAAAGAATTTTTTAAAAAAACAAATTAGCTAGATTTTATCAAAGATGAAAAACTATTGCCTCTCTCTCTCTCTCTCTCTCTCTCTCAGCATATTTTCCATTTCTTTAGATATTTGCAGAGAGCTAAGGTTATATCAAATACTATTCAAGGAGATTTGTGCTCATGGAGAGGGCATTCCCAAATTTCTTCTGTTCTGCCCCCATTCCCCAAATTTGCTTTAGAAATTTCTCCAATCCACAAATATAAAGAACACAAAAGAACATATTAGGAAACCGACTCCACAAGCTTATTCTGTTATACTGGGTTTTACTGAAGCAATTTATTTAGCAGGAGTATTTTGAATAATGCTAAGAGAAGCTCAGTCATTGACAATATAACCAGCACATAGATTCCTTTTTTATCTCTATTACAGTGCTGCCTGTATGGTGCTCATTGTTCTCAAACTGAGAGCATTTTCTCCACAAAGAATCCTAACAAGTGAATAGCACTTCATATAAAAGGGCTTCATATACTTGAAACAGAGGCATCAAACACTGAAATGCAAGTTTAGAACTGAAGGCATGGTTCTGCTTCAGGATATTTAAGGCCAATGGAGAAACAATATACACACAAAGCAAATCTGGGACAAATGCAACAGAAAACCTTCAATTTCAACACATCTCAAATACTTTTACCCAATCTGTTCATTTCCCAATCAGTGCAACCATCACCCAGAGATTAAGCCTGGGATGCTTGGCCTGAAAAATATTGGTCTACAATCCTAATTCTATACTCTAGTTCCTTCCCATAAGAATAATTAGCTAGGACTAAGGATCATTTACACTGCTATTTAGAACAAATCAAGATTATGACAAACACCCCAAAAGCTATTTACAACCTGATTTTAAAGTTCTGATGTGGTTTCCCCCTACAATCACATAACCCCATTTTGGGCACTTAGCAAGCAGCCTGTACCACATTTTTTGGAGTATAAAACACATTTTCCCACCCCCAAAAGTGGATGGAAATGTGTGTGCGTCTTATACTGCAAATATTGTCAAAGCCCCGCCCACCTGCCAGTCCCCACCCTTTGGCCTATGCCTCCCAGCAATTTGCCTCTCTGGAGCAAACAGCCTGGTCAGCTTCAGCACAGTCTGATTAGCACAAGCAGCTAATTTTCAGTAGGATCGGCCTCCCGACAATCAGCTGTTTCATACTGCAGGGATTGCCAACACCTATTGCCACCTCAGCACGCCCCATTTTTGGCCTCCGCACCCCATTTTCAGCCTCCGTGCACTCCATTTTTGGCTTCCATGCACCCCATTTTCCGCCTGTTCTGATCCCGGCCACTCAGAATGAGTGGAAAATGGGGCACGCGGAGGTCAAAAATGGGATGTGTAGGCTGAAAAAGGGGCGTGCGGAGGCAGCAATAGGCGATGGCAATTCCCACATCTTGAAAACAGCTGATCATCGGGAGGCCGATCGTACCAACAATCAGCTGCTTGTGCTAATCAGGCTGTGCTGAAGCTGACCAGGCTGTTTGTTGTTTGCTGCAAGGAGACAAATTGCTGAGAGGCAGAGGCAGATTGTTTCCCTTGTTTTCCTCCCCAAAAGCTAAGTACATCTTATAATTTGGAGCATTTTATACTCCGAAAAATACGGTATTTACAGCCATTTGCAATACTGTATAGTCACATGATTGCTACTTATGATGGCTTTATTGGAAACTGATGTTTACTTCCTGTTTCCAGTAAAAATGTATCATAGCAAACAATGCGTTTGCTTAACAACTGCCATATTTGCTTAAATACCACCATGAAAAATGTCATAAAATTGGATCTAGTCAGGTGGTACAACTGTCACAACTTACCACAGTAATTGCCAGGCCCAACTATGGTTGTAACACAAGGACTACTTATATTGATTGGTTTTTGGCCCTGTCTGATTTCAAAGTGACTCAGGGCAGCTCCTAATATAAAACAGAATACAAACACAGTAGCACAAAAAAAAAAAAACCTAGAGACAATATCACATCAACATAAATACAAAAATAGCAATTCCCTCCAACAAAGTGGGTTCAGTCTACCTTTACATTAACTTGAAAGTCTCCCAGAGTCACCTTATAGGGGAGATGGGCAGCATAAAAAATTTAATCAATAAATAAATACCCTGAGGCCTGACAAATCTTTCAGGCCTTCCTGAATGCCATCAGGATAATAAAAACTTTCCAGATCTCAGGGATACCCTCATTCCAGAGGTCAAGTTCTGTGACAGAGAATCAGAGGGCCCAGAGCACCCTCTTATTGTCCAGGCTTCTTTTGTCCACAGAAGATAAGCAGTTCCTCAAATAACTAGGCCCATGCCATGCAGTGTTTTTTAAGTAATAATCAGTACCCTGAATTGCACCACAAGCATACTGGCTATAAGTATAAATGCTGAAGCAGGGTGTCACCTGGCCATGGCAAGTTAGCTCTTTACCAGTCTCATGCCACTGCATTCTGTACCAGTTGGAGTTTCTGAATAATAGCCAGTGACAGTTCCATACAGAATGCATTGCAATAGTAAGGCCATGAAGTGACAAGGCATCTGTAGACTACATTACAGTAGTAAATGTAGGTGGTTGATAAGGGCATGTGTGATTATGTGGAGGGGTACCCAATCCAGGATGTGGCACAGCTGGCATCCCATATGGAGCCAAAAGGCAAAGCTACCACCCACTTTTCATGGTGAGAGAGAGACAGGTTATTGAAGTTTTTTCCATCTAATTAACAGCCTGCTGGTGAGTGTCATGTACAGTATTTACATAACTACATCAGCAATAGAAGACAACACCTGAAGGAGGTTGCTTCCAGGCCACAGAATAAATAAAAACAAAAAGGAGGTAGGATGAAATTAATCCAGATTTCTGCAAAGGATGCTCCCAAGCTGTAGTCAAATTCTCAACATTCTAAGTGAAAATAAACACTGGAAAGTCTGGCTTATGTTTAAAAAAAAACAAAAAACGGTAACAGTCATAACTAGTGCAACAATGTCTTTAAAATAAACCTTAAGGAGAAAACTCGTTTTTCTAATTACCCTTTTAGTCACATACATTTTCTTTCAATTCAGTATGACTTTAAAGTAGACCTGAAAATAATAGTTATTTTATCTGTGCAAACAATTCCATAAGGAAAAATACACTGTTCTGGCTACTACTCTGTGAAGGTCTCACAGCCCAAATGCACCTTCTTTAAGGGGTTCATTTCACCTGGCTCTTCTCCCAGAGCGCTTTGAGAGTCAGCACACCCGGCTTTCAATTGGCTACAACTGTTTCAGGTCTTCCAGGAGTGGATCCAGAAGACACCGGTGTTCAAAGGTTAAGCACCTGAGCTATGGTCCATCTGTCTGATTTTATAACAGTGGGTCCAGCAAAGTAACAAATTGGGCCAGATGAGTAGACATTTGCTAGGCGTATTTCCGCATACGATGCTTTGTAATAGTCAAAAGAAAATGCCATATTAGCCTGTTATTGTAACTCAGACTAGATCCTCTTCTTCGGATTCCTACAAGTCAGTTCAGTTTCTTCCCCCAAAGAGCCTAAAATAACACCTCACAAACAATGATAAGAAATATACACCCCTACGATCGAAACGCTTTTACTTGTCAAAATCCAACACTCCCCCCCCCCCCCCCCCCACCCTTGCCGCCCCCCAAGAAAACGAGGGAGCTTCCTTTGAGGACCTCGCCTACCTTTTATTAATGTCTATTAAGCAGCCCCTCGCCTCCCACCCACCCCCCACTTCCTTTTAAAAGATCGGTTTTTTTTTTAACAGCTACCCTTCGAGGGCGGTGGACCGCTGGGTGGGGGCTGACGGGCAGGGTGGAGCCGAGGGAGCCTCCCGTTTCGACGACACCTGACCGCCTGCCCTCCTCATCCCTCGCCGCCGGCTTCCTCACCGACAACTTTCCAAGGAGGGGAGAGAGAAAGCTGAGGCGCTTCCAAATTCAAGCCGAGCCGACGCCCGGCTCCGCTCAGCCTGTACCGCCCGCCATCTTCGATTGCCCGAAATACAACGCTCGACCGCGACGCGTTGCATTTTGGGTAGCCTGAACAGCAGGGAGAGGCGAGTGGCGTTCCAGATGTACCGGGTGGTCGTAGCTCGGGTGAGACCGGGGGCAACTCCTGCGGCTGACCTAAATCTGTACCCATATTCGAAATGGGACAATAGAGGCAGACCTCCACTTGCAACAGTTTATTTAGTGACCGTTCGACGTTACAACGGTGCTGAAAAAAGTGACTTGTCACCATTCTTCACACTTACGACCGTTGCGACATTCCCCACGGTCACGTGATTTACATTTGGATTCTCGACAATGTATTCATATTTAGGACGGGGAAGCCAAGTCAATGGGGAAGCCAGGGCCACTTAACAACCATGTTACTAATTTGACAACTGCCGGGATTCACTTAACACAGGTGGCAAGAAAAGCTGTAAAATGGGGCAAAACCCACTTAACCAGTTTCTCACTTAGCAACATAAATTCTGGGCTCCATTGTGGTCGCAAATCAAGGATTACCTGTATTTTCCCAGGGTGAAGGTTTAGATCAGATTTCTCCAATCTGGAGGTTTTGGATTACAGCAACCACCGTTGATGGGAAAACAATGGGGGATTTAGTATGCATCATTTCAAAGACTTTAAATTGAGAAAGCCTAATTTAGGCATTGGTCCATCTATCCAGTATTGTGTTCCAATGTATTACGCTGATGCTAAATTCTGTCCGGAGTTTGTTTCACTGCGGTTAGAGAATTGAACTGTGATGTGCATTGAGTACTGAATTTTAGCTCTGTGCTGAAGAATTCAGATGCTTAATATTTGCATGAACGTGGATGTCTCCTGGATCCATTCTTGGAAGTCCTGAAACAATTACAGTTTGATCCTGAATTCCTGACTGGCTCAAGGTTGATTCAGGCTTCCATCCTTCCAAGGTCAGTAAAATGAGGACCCAGATTGTTGCAGCCAATATGCTTACTCTGTAAACCATATAGAAAGGGCTGTGAAATACTGTGACGTGGTACATAAGTCTAAACGCTATTGCTATCATCAGAATTCCCAACCATTAGTATCCTGGGCTATAGAATCAAGATCACGTGAAATATTAGTGCTACTTTACAAAAGCCTAGTAAGACCACACCTGGAATGCTGCAACCAATTTTGGTCACCATACTACAAAAAAGATGTTGAGACTTTGGAAAAAGTTCAAAGCACAACTAAGATGATCAAAGGCCTGGAGACTAAACCATATGAGGAACAGCTGCAGGTTTTGCATTTGGCTAGTCAAAAGAAAAGAAGAATTAAGGGTGACTGATAGCAGTATTCCAGTGTTTGAGAGGCTGCCACAAAGTAGAGGGGGTCAAATTATTTTTCAAAGCACTGGAGGGCAGGACAAGAAACAATGGTTGGAAACTAATCAAAGAGAGACGCAATCTGGAATTAAGGAGAAACTTCCTAACAGTGAGGACAATTAGTGGAACAGCTTGCCTTTAGAAATTGTGGGCACTCCATCACGAGTTTTTAAAGAAGAGACTAGACAGTCACTTGTCTGAAATGGTATAGCTTGAGCAGGGGCTGGACTAGAAGACCTCCAAGGTCCCTTCCAGCTCTATTTTATTCAAATAATTGTTTGTTTTTCTTTTAACAACTCTTGCATCAGGATGGACAGGGGCAACTGAATTTGTATTTCATCTATAATAGCTTCAGGTTCTTCACCCTTGTTCAAACATGAAGTACTTCCAAAAGGGAAGAAGGTCATGAATTTTCAAATATTAATGAGATCTATATAAGTAAACAGAGACTTCTGTCAAGGTTTCCACACATCAATCGTGAATTAATTTTTCCTAAGCTCAAGGCCAAAAGAATCAAATTGTCCATTTCACTGTACATGAAGCTCTTATGTTTAGTCAGTAGTGTATCACCAATCTCTCAAAGAAGTATTATCTTAGAGATAACAAATGTTAATACATTTTAAAAGACTGTTTTGAATGTTTAAATTTTTTTTTGAATATAAAGGGCTTTGGACAATCAACTCAAAAGTAAATGCATAATCCCAAAGAACAAGCAAGAAAATGGACAAAATAGCAAACTTGGGGTGAGATGCCAAGATGGATGTAAATCTAAAGTCACAGGAACATTCAAGAACATGGAAATGACTGAAAAGACTAGCAAATACAGTAAAAGCAAATACTCTACACTCAGGGCTTTGTAATCATCCTGGATCATCTCTTAGAGTGAACTCATTGGGAGACTTAAACCATCTGCTGCTGTAGCAAAGATAAAAAATGTAAAACCTAAACTTAGATATGTCAGAGGAACTTAAATGTTTGCTGCCTTGAATTATTTGTAAAAATAATAAAAGCTAGATACAAAATAAGTTTATTATTTATAAAATTTATTGGCCACCCATCTTACCATAGGAAAACTCTGACCGGCTTATAGTTGCATCTTAATAAAATCATAAAATGTTGAAAACCTTAACAACCAAAGAGACATGGGGAGGGTGTGGACGGAGTAGGGAGGGAGGTGGTATACTTGGGCTGATGGTACTTGCAGCATGCCTCTTTTGCTGGCACGAATAGTATGGGCCAATCCCAGTGGGGTGGGATGGTCTCTCAAGTAACCCTGGACCCATACCATGAAGGGCTTTAAAGGTGATCACCAACACTTTGCACCTGGAAGCAGACCAGTGCAGCTCACAGAGCAGTGGTGTCACAGGGCTCTCCCAAACTATCCATTCTGTCACACTCTGCACCAGCTGTAGCTCCTGAATGCTCTTCAACAGTAGCCCCGTGTAGAGCATATTACAATATCCAGTCGTGAGATAACTAGGACTGAATGGCTGAGCATAGGGAATCCTGGTCCAGAAAAGGCTGCAACTGCCACCTGTAGAATAGAAATTAGAATAGAATAGTTGGGAGGGACCTTGGAGGTCTCCTAGTCCGGCCCCCTGGTCAAGCAGGAAACCATATACATTTCAGACAAAGGTTGTCCGATCTCTTCTTAAAAACTTCCAGTGTTGGAGCATTCACAATTTCTGGAGGCAAGTTGATCCACTGATTAATTGTTTTCACTGTCAGGAAATTTCTTCTTAGTTCTAGGTTACTTCCATCCTAGATTAGTTTCCATTCATTGCTTCTTGTCCTGTCTTCAGGTGCTTTGGAGAATAATAATGTTCATGGCCCCCAAGCAGTGTTGTGCCGGAGCCTCACTAGTGATAATAAAGGCAGCCACAGCTAGCTATAATGATGACAACAGGTTTATTGTGAGGTCATGATTATGTACTTGGGCACATACAAGTATGTACAGGGTGGAGTTTGTGTCACAATGTACCTTTCACCCTCGCTTCCTTCAACCCCTCCCCCCTGACAATATAGGTTGCATCTTATAAAGTCAAATAATTATATACAGAGTGCATATAATATTAAGCTAACATTTTACTTTTCTTGAATGATTTTGACTTGGAGTACACCTCCATTTTAAATGTGATGATTATATTCATATTTCAGAAATAGAACAGCAATGCAGCTTTAAGCTTCTCATACACAACACACAGACACATGCCGATTATTAACTAATTCCATCTGATTAAGCTTATATTAAAGTGATTAAAAACAGCTGTTTTGATAAAAAGCAAATGTTTATTCAAAAACTGGATATACACTATTAAAGACTCAGGGACTTTATTTAAAATGGAAACACTGATTCTTATAGCCAAAGATAACAGCTAGGGCAAGAAAAGAATGTTCAGTATTTGGCCAAAAGAGGGATATGATAGACTGGGAATTTATGCGCAAATCTTAAAGGAATTATTTGGTGTAAATAGTTTTAACTTCAAATACATGGACTTCAGGAGAGAAACTTTGTTTGATACTAGTAAGATAGGCCAGTAGGAAAATCTATGATATAACCAAGGTGGCTGTTACTGTACTGGAGCCTTCATGAATGCTATACACAACTAGTCCTCATTTACTTTATTTAACAAAGTAGTTGCTAAGTAAAACTGCAACTATGCTTTACAGTCCTCAGTTTACAACTGTTTGCTTAATAATGATTGAACTAATGACAGCCTCTGTAAACATCAGTTATGACCTAAATTCAAACTTATAACCACTCTATCCCCACAGTCACATGACTGCAAATTTGGGCACTTGGCAACTAACTGGCTTGCACTTATGACTGCTTGCAGTATCCTATCGTCACATAACTGTCATTTGTAGCGCTTTTTTTCTGGTTTCCAGCAAAAAGAAAAAAAACACAAAGCTGGATACACACTTATGACTTGACTTACGACCACAGTAAAATGGTCATAAAATCAGATATAGTCATATGATGACTTGGCAACTGCAACTGTCAGCAACTTATGACAGAAATTCTATTCCCAATTATGATCATAAGTCGAGCACTACCTATACTTCAACTTCCCTTTGCTTTAAAAATCTGTGAAGGTCATAAAATCATAGGTTGGCTCCAAAGTTACTTTTTCATCACCATCCTAACTCTGAACAGTCGCTGTCCGAGGTAGCCACTAAACAAGGACTACCTGTAGTTTCACTTTACTATTCCTTCAACAATAATACAATGGATTCAGAGCAAATACTGTAAAATAACATTATTTTTTAATTAATATTTCTTATTAAACTTGTTGAAGTATAAAATACAAATGAAATTGAAAATAGCAGGAAAATGGGGGAGGGAAAAGAGGAAAGAAAGGTAGGGTAAAGAGGAAAAAAGAAAAGCATTGACTTCCTACACTTTTTAGTGCAATAAAATAATGTAATATTACAGACTCATTTTTTATTTTTACATAATATGTATTAGCCATTTCTATAACAACAAGCTTATCTAAGTAGCAAAATTCAAAGTCAGCCTTTCATTTTTTTTTCTATCTCAAGTGCAAAATCCAGAAACAGTTTCCAAGTAGAATCAAAGTTGAATGTGCTCTTTTCCCTGATTAAAGCAGTTAATTTAGCCATCTCTTCTAGTTCCATCAGTTTTTCCAGCCATTCATCCATTGTGGGAAATA